CCGCGCACCAGCGAGCCACAGCAGGGGCGCCCCATGCGCGATCGCCGCGTTGCCCAGCCGCGGAGCGGCTGCTCGGGGGCGCCGTATTCCTAGCGGGCGAGACTGGCCCCCGGCCGGCCAGGAGGCGTCGCTGGCGCGCTTGCCCCTCCGCCCCCCCCCCCGCCGGCGCGCGTCCGTCGCTCCCGCTTCTGGCGCCGCGCGTCGCCCCAGTCGGCCTGGTCTGCGCCAGCGCCAGCAGCGGGCCCGCGCGTCGCGGCGGGGCCATTCAGGCCAGCCAGAAACTGCCTGCTGCAGCTCTCGCAGCCGCTAGGCGCGTCGCGCCCGATTTGCCCCTTCGCTCGCCGCGCCGTTCGCCGCAGGCCCGATGTCGCCCTTCCGCGAACGTCGCTCCGCCGGCGCCCGCGAGGCGGTCGATGACCTCGCGCGCTGTCGAGCCGCGATTTTGACGCGCGGTGAAAGAATAGAAACGCGAGTCTGGAGAATCCAGCCCGCACGGGACCTCGCTTTAGGCATGGCGGAATAACGTAGAAAAGCGCGTTCGGAGTAGGGATACAATGCAGAATCGCGACTTGGGAATAAGCTGTAGATCTAGAATGGCGACGCATGCATGCATGCTGCGTATAGAATGGCGACTTTGAATATAGTCGCGTCTCATGAACCAAAAGGAGCAGCACATAATCTCTTAGCAACGGAACGGGATCGAATCGCAACTTCGACGAAATGAGCAGTGTATAGCCTCGATTTCGCAACGGGGACACAGTGTCGGATCTCGATTCGGGAACAAGGCATCAACCGATTTCGGAATCGGAATCTGTCGACAATGTAGAACATCGGTTTAGGAATTTGGGAAGCCGCGACTCATGAACAGAGAGCTGCGTAGAAACGTGGCTTTGGAATCAGGAACAGCATAATCGTCACTTCGGATAAGGGAGCAGCATTGAACCGCGACTCTGGAACAAGGACGCAGCATTGATTCGTGTTTCAGGAATAGGGAATCACCTTAGGAACGAGTCTCGGGAAGAAGGAAACAATGCAGATCAGGAGGCAGCGTAGAATTGCGGCATATGAATAGGGACAACATAGGGAATCGCGCGTTGCGAAGACGCAGTATAGAGTCGCGTCTTCGGATTCGGGGAACCGCATATACTCGCGACTTTGACAAATGGGAGCTGCATAGAAACGCATCTTAGGAACGAGGAACTCTTATAGGAACGATACTTAGGAACCCAGTAGCAATGTAAAACCGCTGTGTGGGAGCATGGGAACAGTGCAAAGCCGCGCGTAGGAATGCGGGACATTATCGGATCGCGAAGTGGGAATACGGAAACAGCGCACAGTGGCGACTCAGGAACAAGGGAACAGCCAATCGCGCCGGAGGAGGGAAGGAGGACGGCACCAGCACAATCGCGATTGAGGAATTAGGAACCAGTGGGTAATCGCAATTTAGCAAGTAGCAAACATTGCATCGCGATTTAGGAATACGTTGCAAGTGGGCCATCGCGACATATAATATGCAAGCCCCGAAAGATTTCAGCGCATAGCAAGGACACAATGAGGGAACCGCAGCTGAAGAATATGGCAACAGCATGGAAAGGCGCGCGAGGGGCGCGCTGGCATAGGTGGACGAGGCGCGCGCGCGCGGGCCGCGCCGCCAGGGCCTTCGGCGGGCCCCCCCGCGGGGCTGCGAAGCGTGTCGGGGGCGCGTCGCAAAGGGTGGTTGGGGCGCACGCGGGCGGCGCCTCTGGGGTCGCGAAGCGCGCGCAGGGTGCGCCGAAATTTGTGACTGGGGCGCATTGCGGAGGCCGTTCATCCGCCTTCTGTAGAGTTGCAATGTTATTCCTGCGCCGCGATAGCACGCGTTTTCATCCCTACGTCGCGATATTGCGTTGTCATTTGATTTCTGGGCAGCGTATTCATTATCTAGGCTCAGGCGCAACCCTGTTTAATTCGACTTTGTTTTTTGTTCCCCTTGACGTTTTTCGTCTGTGATTCCGTTGTGATGTTCCAGTTTTTGAACGAACGGCGTTTTATGTTGAAACTGTATTGGTGCGCTTTTTCATGTTTCGTTCTGTTGTGCTGCGATTGCAAGGTTGCGTTTGGGTTTCCTGTTGGTTAGCTCCCTTCATTCCGTGGGTCGCTTGGTTGTCCGTCTTGTTTCGCGTCGCCTTCCTCTTTGGATTGCGTGATCGCTTTCGTTGGGATGGCGTTTGTTTTTTGATGTTTCGTTTGATGTGCATTCGATTGTTTGCGTAGTTGTCGCTGTTGTCGTTCCTTTTCGGTGGCCCGAGGACCGCGCCGGGTCGCCCTTCGCCGCAGTTGTAGCTTTCGGGCGTTCATGCAGTTGCTCGTTCCGCTTCGTTGTTTCTGCTGTTTTGTTGCGCGCCCCGCCTGAGCTCTAGCCCGGTCCGCCGCAGCCCCAGCCATAGTTGTGGGCGTTTCGTTTTGTTTGCCCCCTCGCCAGCGCAGTAGTTCCCGGGCGTTCGTTTCGTTCTTGGTTTCGTCGTTACCCCGGTTGCGCACCTGGCCCGGTTTTCGGCTTGGGCCCCGGCCATCGCCGCGGCCCTGGCCGCGCGCCCAGGCTTTCGCTTCGTTTGTAGCATTCCGTTCGCTCGCTTCGCATCGCTGATTTTTTCTTCTTTATATATATACATATATATATATACATATATATATATGTTTGTTATATTTATGTTTTTCTTCTTCCCCTGCCGCGGGGGGTGCCCCGAAAAAATCAGACTGGAACGCGAGCGAAGCAATTTGCTTCCCTCGGCTTGTTTTCCGGCAGCCCAGACCCCCGCGGGGCATTCTGCGCGGCGCGTGCGTCGCGCGGGTCGCCTTGGCGCGCGGGAATGCATCGCGTCGCGTCGAAGCCCAAAACGCAGGTGAAACGTGTGGTTTTCGCTCTCCCAGTTCCCCCGCGACCTGCCCGCCCGCGCGCCCCCCCCCCCGTTGCGGGCGAGCCCTGCGGGGGGCGTTCTGCTCGGGAATGGGCGACCTCATGGCGAGGCCCACAATGCAAGTGGAACGCGTGATTCTCTTCAAACAGTGCCCCCGTAACCCGCGCGCCCGCGGTGCGCCATCTGCGGCGCGCGTGGCGCGCGGGGAGCGCGCGGCGCGGGAGCGGTCGAGACTGCTTCGCCTGGCGGTGCGGCCAAGTTGTCTTTCTCGACCAGTTGCCCCGTGATCCGCGCGCCCGCGGGGCACCTCTTGCGGCGCGCGCGCCGCGCGGGGAGCGCGCTGGGGGGGCGGGCGATCGGGGGCGCATCGCCGTGCGTGGAGGCTCAGAACGCAAGTGGAACAATTTCTTGTTCTCGAGAGACGTTCCCGCGGCCCGCCTGCCCGCGGGGCCCTTCGCGCGGCGAGCGCGCCGCGCGGGGAACGCGCGGCGCGGGCGCGGGCGCGCGCGCCGCGCGGGGAACTCACTGCGGGGGAAATGGTCGAGTATATAACCTCATGGAGCGATGAAGAACCCTCCGCCCCCCACCCCCCGGTGAAACGATGGCGCAGCCAGCGCCCTGAAGCGCTTGCCTGGCGCGCCTCAGCTTAGTTCAGCTCGTCCGGCCGCTTCTCAGCGGGAAGCTCCGCGACGCTTCCACGGCGCTCTCAGGCAGGCCCCAGCGCGACTTCAAGAGCAATCACCATCGCCATCGATACCACTATCCCGGCGCAGGAACGTTAGGGCGTCATGTTCAGAGTGAGGGGGCCGAGCGGTCATTCGCTGCTACTGGGCGCGCGTGGCTGAAGTGAGGTTGTGCAGTTCGGATTGTTGTTGTTGCCGCTGTTGTTGGTGATGTTGTTGTTGTCGTTGTTGTCGTTGTTGTCGTTGTTGCTGTTGTTGGTGATGCTGTTGTTGCTGGTGGTGTTTGCTGTTGGTTGTTGGATGTTGGTGGTATGGGTTTGTTGCTGTTGTTGTTGCTGTTGTTGTTGGTGTTGTTGTTGGTGTTGATGTGGTTGGTGTTTGCGGTGGTGGTGACGGTGCTGTTGTCGGTGCTGATGTTGTTACTGTTGCTGTTGGTTGTTGTTGTTGGTTGTTCTTCTGCTGTTTATTGATTGTTGTTTGTTGTTGGTTGTGTTTGTTGTTGTTTGTTGTCTGTTGTCGTCGCCTCCCCCGCGCCCGGGCTCGCGACCCGCCCGCGGCCCGCCCGCGACCCGCCTGCGACCCGCCTGCGACCCGCCCAGGGCGCGCCCGCGGCCCTCCCGCGACCCGCTCCGCGATCCGCCCGCGACCTGCCCGCGACCCGCCCGCCGCCTGCGACCCGACTGCGACCCCGCCGGGGGCCCGCCCGCGGCCCGCCCGCGACCCACCAAAATCGGCGCCTGCGGCGGGCTCGTTGTTGAATTGCGCCCGCGGCGGGCTTCTACAGGGCCTCGCGGATGTCCGACGTTTCCGCAGATCCTTCACTCCTCTCCGCAATTGCGGGGCGTTGCGCTGCCATTGCTGCGCGGCAGTGCTTGCGGTCGAGGGGGCAATGCCTTGTAATGTGCTGCGGCTCGGTGCTGGCGAGAATCGGAGCCCCTCGCATGGTCGCGGAGGCCCCGCGGAGGCTCGAGGCGAATTTGTTACGCGAGAGTTTGCATGCATGTATGACTGCTACCGTTTTGGATTCAGCTGTGGCCGAGTACAATGGGACATTCCATTCCCATGGCAGCGAAGAGCGCTGCGGCTTCAGCGGGGTCCCAGCTGAGGACGACAGTGACTAGGGCGCCATCGACATTTTCTGTCGGCGGGCGAGGATTGTCAGACATGCGGGAAGGTTGGCGCTGAGACGACGAACGCGGGTCGCCCTCGGACGCCTCCGGAAGGAGATCGAGGCGCGCGGCCGAGAGATCGATGGGGGCCAGACAGCAGCGAGCTGGAACCCGAGCCACGATGGCGTCGGAGCAGAGATTGGCACAGCTGGAGCAGGCGCTCCAGGCTGGGATGCAGCCAGCGGAGGCAGCGGAGGCCGCCGCCAACAGAGCAGAGGAGGCCGCCGCCGCTGGCGGGGCCAGAAGGCAAGGGCGCGCGCCGTGAAGGCGGCGCTGAGCAGACAGGATTGTTTTTCTGCGTGGACACGCGGATGTTCGGTCGGCCCGACATCTTCGAGGGGATCGAGGCAAAGTGGGCTGTCTGGAGTACGGTCATGAGGGCATGCGCGGGCTTGTTCAGCAGTGCGCTGGCTGGGTTGACACCGACGGCGGGGTCGCCGGGCGAAGCCGCGACGAAAGGCGGGCTCGGCGGAGAGGCTGCCGAAGCGAACGCATCCCTCTACTATTTGCGGGCGATGCTGACGCGGAGCGAGCCGCTCAACATTGCGGTGAACAGCGGAGAGGTACGACAGTGTTGCAGCGACCAGGTTGGCAGGTCTCCTCCTCCATGGATTGGAGTTTCGCGGGCGACATCCAGTCGCGCGTCGAGCTGTTCGAGTGAGAGAACCAGAGGCATGAGCAGAGGTCGGACGAAAAGGTTAGCCTGAACCTTCGCGTGGGGATGGTGTTGACTGGGCTCGAGATGAGGGCCCTGGAAGACCACCTGCGCCTAAACTCGACTAAGTGCCAGCTGGGTCGACTTCAAGACGGAAATCGTGAACTACGGGCGGGCAACGGCTGTCGCGGCGGATGTGAACGGCCCGACCCCGATGCACATCGGTGGTTTGGGCGGCGGCAGAGGCTGCGCGGACGCGGCGTGCCGCGCTTGTGGGGGCCGCGGACGCTACAAGAGGAATTGCAGGAATCCCGGTGGCGGTGCGCATCGGCCCCAAGGTCGCGCCCCTCTCAAGATGCTGCAAGGACTTGGCGAAGGCAAAGGCAAGACCGGCAAGGGCGAGAGCGGCTGGCTGCAACTGTGGTGGCAAAGGACACGCGAAGGCGCAGTGCCCGACCAAGAAGATCAACGCGCTCGACGAGGACGGCGTTTGGCAGGACGACTGGGGCCAGGACGAAGGAGAGCGCGACCGCGCCATGCCCGAGCAGGAGAAGACGTTGGAGGGCTCCTGCATCTGCGGGCTGAGCCACGGTACCGACATTTGCGAGACGAAGAGCAGGTGCTGGAGATCGGGGTCGACTCGTGCGCGGCTGCATCGGTGCTGCCTGAGAGTTGGCCCCCGCAAGTGCCGCTGAAGGGGGGCGTTCTGGGCGGGTCATGCTACGCGGCGACGAAGGATAATATCTACGATCGAAGTTTTTTTTGTTTTTTTCAGGTCGCGGGCGGGCGGGCGCAGGGCAAGGGGCCCTTGCTCGCAGCCAAGTTCCGCGCGACGAAGGCTCACGGGGCGCCCATGTCGCTCTGTGAGATGTTTGACCAAGGGGGCGCGATTGGAGTTCGACAGCGACGGCGGCTACGACGCCAGCAGGATCATCGCGAAGGCTACTGGGGGCGTGATCCCCATTGCCAGGAAGCAAACGATCTACGTCCTGCCGCTGCACCTGCGTGGCGGCGGAGGCTCGGGCTTTCCCGGGCAGGGTGGTCGCCCGCAAGGTCCAGCGGGGGGCTGAGGCGGAAGCTGGAAGTGCAAATGCTGGGTCAGCGGCTGCAGAGGAGAGGGCGATCGCGGGGGAGACATTCTGAGTGAGGTCGCGGTGGGCTGCTCCAATCGCCACGTGCCTCGCACGCGCGCCCGTGCCGATGCCCTGGACTGGAGACGTTCGCACGTCGAGAGATACCCAGTGACTCTGATCCAGTCGATCCTCCGAGGATACCGACATGCATTTCGACATGGCCATGGCGGGGGCGGGTTTGCGGGCGCACGTGGCGCTGGTCCGACGCTCGAGGAGGCAGGGCTCGAGGTCGCCATCGACTACCGGGTGCCAGAGGTCGCCTAGAGCCAGTGGGCCGAGTCCCCCCAGTCGGGGTTCTTCGACGACGCGTCGGGCTTCTCGCTGGGCCCATCCCAGGTGAGGCACGCCAGGGAGGGGGAGATGAAGTGCGCGGTGGGCGACGTGGACATCTGAGAGCTCGTCGACAGGGACTTCGCCGTGGATTGCATGGGCTGGAACCCGCCCATTCCTGTGCGCTGGGTGGATACTAAGAAGGGGCCGGACGAGAACAAAGAGCATCGATCTCGCCAAGCACCATCGACGCGCAAGACAAGGGTGCAGTCTTCAGTGCTACGCCGCCCTTCAGAGCTGGTCGGATACTAGCGTCGATAGCGATGACGTTGGGGAACCATGTTTATGGAACGAGATCCTGATATCGACGTCGTACTCATGTTCCTGGATATCAGCCGGGCACACCCGCGCACAGACAAGATGAGGGAATTGTGCACGGATATCCCAGCGGATCACCCTGAACACACTGCGGGTCAGGTTGGGCGGCGGAAGCGTCACTTGTATGGAGCGCGCGATGCCGGCCAGAATTTCGAGTTGAAGTCCGGGGCGTCAGCGAGGAGGCTGGAGCCAAACGAGGGGCTCACCATCCCTGCGCCTTTCCACTGGGGGCTCGTTTCCAATTCTTCCTTCACCACGGAGACGACTTCACCTTGATAGGGACAGGGCGAGAGTGCAGATGGATGAAGGACCAGATCGGCGACGCGTTCATTGTCAAGGATCGCGGGGTGAGGGGCCCGAGGCATTGGGACAGGAACTCGATCATTATCCTGAACCGCGCGGCGCGCTGACGCCGCCCGTGTCAAGGGCCCCGATTCCGTTCAAGTTTGTTGGGCCCCGTCCCATGTAGAGGCTCGGGACAGAAAGTCCGAGCGCGATTTATGCGAGGCATTGGCTACTGAGTGCGCTGACGAGCTGGCCGCCAGAACGGCCGCTGCGGCGTAGCTTTAATCCATTACCAATGTCCAAGCCACCGACCAGCGTGACACCGAAGCCTTCCTCGTGAGGATGCGGGCACGAAGAGCTCCGGCGGCGGACGCCATCCAAGCCGATCTCTGGACCGCGGGTCGCCTTTCGCCCCCCCGCCCCGATCGGAATCGCAGGCTTGAGCAGGCCCCGGCGGCTTTACAGCGCGACTGGTGGCAAGTGGGCTCCAGGTTTGATCGCCGTTGTTGCACATGTTCGACAACTCCAAGCGCATTCTCCAGGCTTCCCATGTTATTTGTCTCCAGGCCTCCCCCCTTTTGTGGTGTCGCCCCTTTCTTTTGCCGGCGAGCGATAGGGGGGAATGTCCTGGACAGCGCTCACAAGTTACAGCGTTGGGGATGCGTTGATTTTCTGTTCAGATATGGTCGTACACAGGCGACCACCCCCAGGCACCTGGTCACCTTTTGCTCCCCCCCGACAGCGAAACCGAGGCATAAAGTTGCCCGTGTCGATCGGCGCGTATCCATACCCGAGCGGACCGCCGAGGACGCTCCGAACTGCAGGTACCGCCGACTTGTAGCCCGAATCTCAGGTTGTCCGTTTCCCTTTGTCGTTCACCCCAGAGTAGTTCCGTCTTCCTCTCCCTCCCCCCCCCACCCTTCATCAGTAAGACCCGCCCTGGTGGCTGAGGAGGACGCGGAGGGGCAAAGAGAGAAAGGAACATTGAGGAGTGAGGAGGGGTAACGGTAGCAGGAAGGAGGAACAGAAGGAGCAGGAGGAGGAGGAGGAAGCTAACCATCTCCGCGGGAAGATTCCAGGATTGAAGTTTCTGCGCCCTGAACTTAGCTACCATCACGAGCGACCCTGTCAAACTTGGGACTAGTCGTTGTCCGTCTTTCGTCTGGGTCGTTTAGGCTTCGCAGCGCACAGAGGTCGCGCCCGTCCGATACCTGCATTCAAGCTGCACCCGCTCGTCATCATCCGAGCAGACACGACAGCTTCATTTCGATCCCGTCGATCCGATTCGACATCAGTTTCGGCCAGCGCGATGCCACCCGATTTTGATATCCCAGTGATCCGATGTGGCCCGATGCTTACATTGCGTTGCTCTGCATCCTGTCGTGGCCGATTCGGTTTGAGTTGGACTCCGTGCCCGGGTCAGCGCGTCCTGGACCCCCCCTTCGTCGGAGGTGAAGGACATGGGAACGCCGCAGTTCGACTACGTGGATATCGTGCAGTGGTCCACAGGCCCCTTTGCGCCGACCGCCCAGGGCCTGTTCGAGGGGCTTCCGCCATCCCGCCGGCCCCCAGAGTGGAAACGAAGTCCACAGGTCAGGACTTCTGCCTCTGGGGAACCTTTTGAGGGGCCAGTTGGGGCATCTTTTGGGCCTCTTGGGGGCCTCTTTGGAGTCGCGCAGAGGTCTACAGGCCCCCTGGCCGACCGCTCCGGGCTTGCCCTCCCCTCCCTCCCCCCCCGCACATGCCCCGACTCGGGCCACGGGCCCTCCTCGGTGCAGACTGACGCCCTGCAATGCGATCCTCCGCCATTCCCTGTGAGGAGGGGCAGGGAGGGAGGATCAACAGGAGGAGGGAGGGAGGAGGGAGGTGGTGGTGGGACGCTGACATGGGACCTGGGTCCGTGTTCATCCGCTGGCCTCCGAACTTACTCCTCCTGATCTGTAAGAGGAGGGAAGCAAGAGGCGGGGCCGGCCTGGAAGTGGCCCGCGAAGGTGAGAGTGCCGCGCCAGGGGGCTCTCCTACGGAGTTCTGCCTCGCGACGCGCCTCGCGTCGGCGCTTGGCCTCCGCCCTGTGGGCAGCGATGAGGCTAAGCTGCTCCGGGGAGAGAGACGGAGGGGGAGGCAGCGGCAGCGGCGGCGGAGGAGGGGGAGGGGAGAATGGGGAGACGTCAAACCCTACAAACTCCTCAGCTTCAAACTCCTTCTCCAGTCCAGGTCTGAACTCTTCTGCTATGTCTGTAACAGAGGGCTGCTCAGAATGTGGAGTCAGATCACATTCACACTGCACATCAGACGTCGTGTCCTTGTCTTCGCTGAGTCTGTGTAGTTCATGGTCCGTGCGGCGAACACTGCTTGCTGCTGCTACCAGCTCCACGGACATAGTCTGGGGCTGGAGTGAAATTCTCATCCACTTCGGCAATGTAGAAACGGCGCAGTCCCTCCACTAGCACCAGGTTCATCAGCGTAAATACGCGTGATGGAGGCTGAGATGGCAAGGGGTAGGTGGCGACACATCTCCGCTGGGTAGGTCTTCTTGGCATTGGTTCTGAAGACGGAGCGGCCTTCTGGGGTTGTTTCTTTACCTCGAAGGACTTTGTGGGCTCCAGCGAGGTGGTGGCATCTCCCTTTACGCAGTGTGTCGGTGAGGCGGGCACTAGACACTCAAGCCGAACCCCCAGGAGACGTATCGGTCCGCGCCCGCATTCTGCGGGATCCATGTCGGCGGGTTGGTGCACACTCTAGTCGAAGTCTGCGGTAACGACAAGAGGCGACGCAGCCGAGGCCTCCATAGGTTCCCACTCGAAATTGCTGGGGACTTGGGGCCTCCAATACGGGCAACACAACGTCCCTGCCACCATGTGGCATCCCAGAAGATACACCAGATACTGCAACAGGACCCCTCCAATCTGCAATTGTGCTGCACGTCACCTGCTCGTCCCCGTCCTGAAAACAAGTTGAGCACAAACACTTCTGCGCGATGGATATGGCACGGTACACTTTCAGCTGCTCTGGCAGTATAGTCATGTGACCTGTACCTGTAATGACGGTCGGGGAAGAGAGACTGCTCCTGGGTCGGTGGTTCTGGCGGGTTGTTCAGTCGGTCCTGGTAGGCGGGGAGGGAGGTCGGATCGATCTGGCCTGGTCATCGTCAAAGAGCGCTGCTGCCAGCATAGCTGATGGGTAGAGGCCGTCCTCCGGATACTGAACTGATGGTGGGTAGGTTGCACGCCATCTCCCGAATCTTGCGCGGCGCTGCTCTGCGTGCCGACAGGCGTCTTCCAGACGCAGAGCCTCGGCTCCGTCGGGATCTGTCGTATTGCCGCGCATCATGTAGGCAAGGTGACAAACAGGCGCTCCGAATGCGAGGTGATCTCGCAACTGCCTTCTGGATGAGAAGGCAACTGAGCACGACATACATGTACTTCCCTCCCCCTTGAATCGTGACACCACGCGTACTGCAATGCAATGTGTACGCGCGATGTGTTGTCGCGTGCTTTTGGCCGTGTCCCCTATGAAACCACACCACATACACTGCAATGTTGGCAATCGCGTTTTGACTGGGTAAGTCGGGTGAGACGGGTCGGCAATAGGCACGGGCATTCTTTCTGGGCGACCTAGCTCGGAGACAGCTGCTTGTGCTTGCTGGGCCATCGCCGTGCGACTGGCTGCAAGTGCATGGGCACGCAGAGCGGTCGCAAGAGTGCGCTTCCATGCTGATAGTTACTGCATATTGAGATCTTCCCAGGCGTGAAAGTCATCCGCTGGAGTCGGCATCGTACGAAATTGATTATGTATAGTGCGAAGCCAGTCCAAATCATCAATAACCCTGTGCATCCAAGTGGTGTGCTGTGGTTTTGCTGTACGGCATAAATGCGTGACCAGACTGCGCAAAGTAGACGTGCCGTGGTGCAGCAAGCGCCCAATCAGGCGAAGGCGCTGCACTCTCAACACTGTTCGTACGTCGGGGCGCTCCATGTTAGCCAAGAACACCCTGTGTTGGACTGTGTCTGCATCTGTCTGTGGTATGTGTAGTAGCTGGCGATACTCATTGACCATAACCTGCTGCACGTGCGCATATTCTGCGTCCTTTAGGCCGGCCACGTCCCAGAGTTGCACAGGAACCCCGAAAAGAGGAGCGTGTCGGTAAACTGGAGGGTAGCCGCCCAAGGGAGGTCCACTGAGGCCCCAAAGATGCGTCGCCGAAGAAGCTGCCCCGAGGACTTGATGGAGGCTTTTCGATGGGCCAATCCAGGCCCAATGCAGCCAAATTCCTCCAGCTGGGTACCCAAGTGAGTTCCTGTACGTACTGTATGTAGTGTGAGCGTGCCCAGCATATCCGACTGCGCCTGGAACTGTCCTTGGCGTTGTAGCCACAGCTCTCTCTCGGCGGCCTTCAATCCTTTTCCTCGGAGTTGGAATAGCACCTCGTTTTTTCCCGCTGCAACCTTGACGCGGAGGCCTCGTCGCACAAAGCTGGTCGCCATTGCCTCGGCAGCCCGCGGCGCGGCAGAAAATAGGGCGAGCGCTGGGCCAATGACCATCATGGCACCGTCATCGAAAAAGCACGCGTCCAGCCCCCCCCCCCCCCCCCCCCCATGATCGCATCCGGCGTCGTGGTGAGCAGGTCGGACATACTGGCATGCAAGGCGACCGGGATGCGGACGTCGAGCTGGAGCTCGCTTAAGTTTTGCTGCGATTCACGCATGCATGTTGCCGTGGCAAAGTCGAATATCACATCGCCCAGTTGCTGACCAGGCAATGCCCCATCCAATGTGCTTGCAATAGCTGAGGCCCCTGGATACCAAAACCAATAGCCTGTGCGACTGGAGGCCGCGAGGGCCCGCGCGTGCCGAGACGCGCCAGCTGCTTCCGAGATAGTGGGGTGCTGTGCCATGTGGGCCTCGAGATCCTCAATGGCGCTGGTAGGGGGCCCCGCGGTGGCGAGCATGAGGCGGGGGCCTGAGTCGGAGGCGCCCATTTGCATGGCCAATTCCTTTATGGCCCGATAAGAGGCCGACACCGCGTCAAACATAAAGAAGAGGACCGACTGTTTGAGGGCCAGCGCGAGCTCCTGGAAGGGCCGAAGGGCCAGGGCGGCCAAGTAGACCCCGCGTCCAGGGATACCCCCACACTGGGAATATCTTGCATATTCTGGCAATGATTTCGAGTGGTCTCCGTGGGAGTTGTCGATCTGTCTTGCCTCTGTGGGGGGAGATCATGACCGAGCGATGGTTATTGCAGAGGGCTGTCGTGGCCTTGCTCTTCCAAAGGTCCCAGTAGTTGCCGCCTCGCCACTGCGCGGGACCTTCGATCCGAAGGCAACTCTTGACAACAACTGGATAATAGAGGCTGCCCATCTCTGGCGCGAACTGTCTGAGCATGCAACGCGGGGCGCTGTCGAGACTGGCGGCGGAGGGCGTGGACTTGCGACAGGCCTGTTGGTAGTGTGCACGTGTTGGTCGGGGGACTTCATCGTGCCATATGTCGTGTATGATAGCTGCATCTAGTTGCGGGGGCTGGTTGTAGAACTCTTCCGCATCTTGAAGAGGAACTGCGACTCCAACCTCTTCGGCGGCAAAGTGGCGTAGCCATCGATCCGCTGCTCTGTGCGATTAGTGGCCATTCATCCGCCTTCCAGCTCAATGATGGGGGGCGCTCTGGGGTTGCCCCCTATTGGAGAACCCAGTGCCCATGGCCTTCAGTTTTGCAAAAACCTGATCGAACTGACGTCGGCCCCGCGCGTCTGATGCCCGCTGTGCGAGAGACTCGTAGTGATGCAGTGCATCCATTGCAGTCGCATGGCGGATGAGCAAAGCACCGTGCAACAACAACAGCCCCCGGTGCGCCATGGCACAAGCCCGCATTCCATGCGCATAGTCCCAGCAACTGGTCACATGTGCCCACATCCCTGCACCCCCATCCACCTTGCTTGTGATGCATGGCGGGTTGGAAAAGAGGAAGGGGGGATGATGGCCGAAACCATGTAGTGCCTCGAATGTCTGCTTCCCGACGGAGCAGAAAGGCGGTGGCTTGGGGGGGTGGCTGACTGCATCTTAGAGCGACCTGATAGCTCGCGCGAGCTTGGGAAGGCTAGGAAAGCGCGCTGCGGCCTTCTCCTCCAGGTCGCCCCGACCGAGTGGCGACCTGAGAGAGGCCGCTAAGTGCCGGCGCCATGCAACAAATCGCATACGAAGCGCTGCCTTCTGCGCGCGTTGCCCGAGACGCCTGGCATGGCGCAAGTAGATGCTTCTCTGATCCCGCAGGCCCAGAGTGGTCAGACTAACCCAAGACTGCAGCGGGCGCCTGCCCGAGGCGGCTGCGCGGATGGGAAACGCGAGCTCCATTGATGTCCGCGCGTGGTCATCGCATGTCTGTTCATGGTCGGTGGCATGCGTCGCAAACAGTGGGGGTCGGAATTGCGTCAGCAGGTGTCGGAATAGCTGCGCAGAGGTGGGATATCTGTACAACTTGGGATTATGTTGCGCCGTGTACATCCTTCACCTCCAGAG